ATCCCTGGTTCCACCAAAAAAAAAAAAAAAAAGAAAAAGAAAAAAAAATATTCATCAGTGAATTTTTTAAAGTAATGCAAATGTTCTAAAGCTATTATTATGGTGATGTTGTACAACTCTATAAAAAAATTTTTTTTTCATTTATGTATTTGGTATAGGGTCTTACTACACAGTTTGGACTCATAGTGATCCTCCTGTTTTTAGCCTCCCCAGCACTAGGATTACAGGCATGTGCCACCATGCCCAGACTGTTGCTGGCTCAGTACGCCCCAAGGGCGGGGCCAGCGCAGAGTGCAGAACCTGGGATTGAACCCTGGTTCCCTGTGCTTGCCAAAGCAGGCACCTAGTCCACTGAGCTATCTCACCTGCCCTTATAAATTTATTAAGAGGCCAGGGAGATGGCTCAGTGGAATAAGCACTTCCCTGGCAAGCTCAAGGGCCTGAGTTCAATCCCTGGTTCCGAAAAAATAAAATAAAAAATAAGTTTATGAAAAGAGATACATACTTAAAATGCGTGAATTCATGGTGTATAAATTAATACTTCTATAAAACTGGATGCTTTATGGGGGCCTGCCCCTTAGCTCAGTTCTTTAAGTGGCTGCTTCAACAAAGCAGTCAGGCTCAGGTTGCTGTGGTTCAATCCCCACAGCTCAAGCCAGCCAAACCTGCCCTGAAGGCATTTGGAGGGAAAAAAAAACCAACAAACCTGGATGCTTTTTTTTTTTTTTTTTTGAGACGAGATCTTCTATGTACTTCAGGCTGACCTTTAACTCACTATGTGTTAACAAAAAATACTATGTAGATACTAGTCTAACCTCAAACTCTTGGCAATCCTGCTTCAGGCTCCTGAGAGCTAGGATTATAGACATACACCATGGCGGGGAAGGCTGCATTCTTGATAGTGACAACTGCTACTTTCTGAGTACTTTCAGAATTATCTTCTTTAATTCTCTCAAAAAGTCTCAAAAAATAAGTAATTTTAACTTCAGCAGATAAGAGTAATGCTTGTAGGTGACAGGATTAGAACCTGATTTCTAGTTCTTTTATTAAACCAATTCTTAGCTTGTTAAGAATTACTAATTTTAGCTGGGTATGGTGATTCATGCATGCCTGTAAACCCAGCACTCAGAAGACTGAGGCAGGAGGATTACAGTGAGTTTGAGGCCAACCTGGGCTACATAAGTGAGTTCAAAACCACAGAACCTGTCGAAAGCAAAAAAGAATTACTAATTTTAGAGTCAGGAATGGCACACACCTGTAATCCTAGCACTAGAGAAGTAGAGGCTGGAGGATTACTGTGACTTCGAAGCCATTGTCCTCTGCAAAGCTACAAAGTGAGTTCAAGGCTGACTTGGACTACATAGTGAGACACTATCTCAAAATAATAAAATAAAAATTAATATTAATTCTGAATCAAATTAGACTACAATGATAATTCTTTAATATTTCTTTTCAGACAAGACTACTTTTACTTAAAAATCTGTTATGTAAACAAGGAAGTCCATTGACCCAAAAGGAACTAGCACAACTTGCTAGGTGAGTAATTGGAGTATTTTCCTGCCTGACAAGCACAAGGTCCTGAGTTTGAATCCCAGTACGAAACGAAAACTATGTTATTTAAAATAACCTCAATATATAAAGAGTGTAGAATACTAAGCTTATGCTTAAAAAAATAAAATAACTACAAAGTATGAAATGAGTATTTGTCTGAAAAGTTCTTGTCTCATTCTCTACTCCTTTTTACCATCTTTCCTCTTCTACTTTATTTCTTACCTCTTCCTATATATGGTATGTAAATTTCCATTTGTGTCTTACGAGACTTGACATAAATATCTAATGATAGTAGTATATTCTTTCTATAAATAAAATTTATAAATACTGTTAAATTTGAAGCAATTAGGGCCGGCCAAATAGCTCAGTAGATTAAAGTGCCTGCAATCAGGCACAGGGGCAGGGATTCAAACCCCAGGTCTTCCATGCCGGCCCTGCCCCTGGGGTGTGCTGAGATAGCAATTGAGACTGGGCAGGGTGGCGCACACCTGTAATCCCAGCTCTTGGGAGGCTGTGAACAGGCGGATCACTACGAGTCTGATCCAGTAGTGAGACCCTAAACACCCGTATACCCTTTCCTAAAGAGTACAACCCCCCCAAAAAAAATTTTAAAGCAATTAAAAAACTTAAAGCATCTCATATTTGCTTACACCAAAACAGGAATCTTCATATAAATGTTTATCCATTAGGTAGAATTTGTTTGGAATTTTACATCCTAAAAAAGAGCTTAAACTTTTTCCCCCTGTGGTGCTGCTTGGCCTGCAGGTCTGTGTAGGGCCGCGGACGCAGGTCGATATTACACAGGATGGGTTTTGTTAAGGTTGTCAAGAATAAGGCCTACTTTAAGAGATACCAAGTGAAGTTTAGAAGATGACAAGAGGGCAAAACTGATTACTATGCTAGGAAACGCTTGGTAATACAGGACAAAAATAAGTACAACACGCCTAAATACAGGATGATAGTTCGTGTAACTAACAGAGATATCATTTGTCAGATTGCTTATGCCCATATTGAAGGGGATATGATAGTCTGTGCAGCATA